TAAGGGGCTCCTGTGGTTTGATTTATTTTCATTTTTTATATTCTTTTTTTTTAAATTATTCTTTTGTGTGTGTACCATCAAATCGGATCCAACTGGTACAAGAGGAGATTGCCCTTCCTTCTCCAGCAGAGAATCTGGTGGATTTGAACTGCATGCCTCTGGGATTGCAGTGTAGCTTCTTGCCATTAGGTCACCAGAGCTCCCATCTCATTTTTTATATTCTTGATTGCATTAAGAGATGTGAGGTGCTTAGAACAATTTGTGTGTGTGTGTGTGTGTGTGTGTGTGTGTGTGTGTGTGTGTGACATTTGTAAAGTGCTAAGTATCCTGATGTCTTAAGTGAAAAGTCCATTTGTACTACCCAAGAAATGCAAGAACATGGAACAAATGGTCCATTATCTGGACTGCTGGGGAGAAGACGGAGGGCAAGGTTAGGTGCACGGAGATCCCACACTTCATGCCATTCATTCGTTTTCTTCTTCTTCCCAATCACACTTTTCCCACTTGACCTACTCTTGCAGTTGTTGTTGCATGCAGTGAGCAGGCTCCCACTCACCTTACGTGACCTTGCATGGCCTTACATGACATTGCATGACCTTGCGGGACCTTTGTCATCCTCACAATCTCTGCCAGGCTTTCCCCTCTTATTGAAGCTACTGTGTCAGTCTGTCTTGTTGAGAGTCTTCCTCTTTTTACTTTAGCCCACTCTTCTTCTCCAGACACTGGCCCCTTGAGCTGCTAACAAGCGGAAAAGCTGATTCATTCTCCCACTCAACATTTTATGATATAAAACCTTTATTGGAAACTTGTCTCTGAGCATCATTTATACTATGAACATATTTATTGGAAAACCATAGTTTTGTTTCAATCTGGTCAACTTTAGTTAAACAGTTCTACTTATTTTTTAAAAGGTGAATACTCTAGATCTTTTGAATAATATCCCTGTGGAAAAGATCCAAAGAAATCAAAGCCCCAGACACACTGCCACTGAGCTGATTCTGCTTCACGACACCCCGTGAGTTTTGACGAGGAGAAGCGAGCTCCAGAGGAGTTCACTGGCTGTGAACTGAGGGAAGCAGATACCCAGGCCTTTTTTTTTCCCCCTCGTGGAGTTCCCGGGGGGATCTGAACCTCCAACCTTTAGGTTAATAGTGGTGTGCAAGCTTTGCCACCTGGAGACCTCCTGCAGCACAGACTTCCAGGAGAACTTTCTAAAAAGTAGTCTGGAGAGATTCCAGACTGATTTCTTTAGTTCCCTCTCCTGGAGAGGGGGAAGGAAGAAAAGTGGGGTGAGGGGCCAGAAGGAGAGGAGGAGAGGAGGCAGAAGTGAGAGGTGTCATTTGATTTCACTGTATTTGCCAATGCCCATTGTTCTGACTGCTGTCACCAAGTTCAAGTAAAAGGAGATGGTCCTGGACTTGGAAATATCAATGGTGTCCCCCAATTCCCGCCCTGCCTTCCCAAGTCTGTTCTAGCCACAGTCCCTAGAATAGTGATCTATGATGCAGAAGTCTAGCAAAGTCTCTGCCTGAGTTTGTCATCTTTTTTCATGTCCTTGTACCCATCTTATGACTTAGAAATGTCCAAATGTCCGGCTCCAGCCAGAAACACCAAGAGCATCAAGGTGGTGACTCTGTCCTCAGCCACCTCTGGATTTACATCTTGCTGTCACCTGTGAAGGGAACCGGCACTGTTCTAGTGTTTGCACAGAGTGAGGTGGCCCCAAGGAAGGGGGCTGGACAAGAAATGGGCATTGGCTTTGGGTTCTGCCTGGTCGCCCTGGTGATCTATGTGTAAAGACCAATCCAGCATCATTCACTGAATTTTACACTTGAGTTGCATTTATAATGAAGAGGAAAGCACACTTCTGGTGGCCTGGTGCTCATTGAGTGCCTTGTCAAGAACTCACCTCAACCACGTCCTTGTCTGCGTGTTTGCAGAGGGTGTTGGGGGCTGGCCCTCTAACTGGGTCATTTCTCTTGCACCACAGACAGAGCCCCCTTCCCTGTCCTCTGCCGCCCCTCACATCACTGAGCACTTCTGCTCTGCCGACTGCTTGATCTCCGTGAAGGTCGCCTGCGCCTTTTCCTTGATGGTGTCCAAGTCCATGTTCTGCAGATTCTGCAACTGGGCGAGAATGGAATCCTTGTCTTCTTCCTCTTCCTGGTCCTCGTCCACCATCTTCCGGAGGTCTTCGGGCAAATCCACGTCATCTCCAGCCATCTGGATTTGGTTCTCGTCCATCTCACTCTACGTGAAAAAAGAAAGACACAGTGAGGGGAAAGCACTCCAAGATACACAGACAGACAGACAGACAGACAGACAGACAGACATTTGAAAAGAAGCAGGAAAGGAAAAGCCTGTTGAGCATGAAGGAGCTCCCTGGAGGCAGTGCTGATACACTCTGTCTGTGGACCAAGAGAAACGACCCAGTTAGAGGGCCAGCCCCCAACACCCTCTGCAAACACACGGACAAGGACGTTGTTGAGGTGAGTTCTTGAGAGGGCTCTCAGTGAGCACCTGGCCCCCAGAAACGTGCTTTCTTCTTCATTATAAATGCAACTCAAGTGCACATGTGCTTGCTAGTAAGGGAAAATAAACAGGTTTGTCCTGAAGAGGGTGAAACCAGGCTGCTCCTTGGAAGCTAGGATTTTGAAGCGTCATCTCATATACTTTGGGCATGTGGCCAGGAGTGACCAGACCCTGGAGAAGGATATTATGCTTGGAAGGATGGAGGGACAGTGCAGGAGAGGAAGACCCTGGATGAGATGGATTGACACTGTAACTGGGGCAATAGGGGTTGGTGTGTTGGAGACTGTGAGACTGGCTCAGGACAGGACAGGGTTCAGAGCTATTGTATATAGAGTCACTGAGTCACAGGTAGCTTGATGCCGCATAACAACAATAACAAAATAGTAAGTGAGAGGATAAAGTTCCATTCCCTCAAAGGCACTTTGAAAGGAAGGTCTGAAAAAAACTAGCCATCAGACACCCTCAGCCTCTGCCACACAGATGCCCACTCCAGCTTGGGATGCCCACACAGGGGCCCCTGGACATCACTGCAAGTTGTAGAGTGTGTCCTCCTCATGACATGACCCAGGGGCCCTGGAAGATCTCACGAAGAGTGTGGGGCAGTGCCCACCCTGGCCAGAGCTCAGTCACTGCCCTCTTCACACTTAAACGGAGATCTCTGCTTCACCATTCCTCACCTCTCTGGTCTACCAGACCAAGAGCCCTCATGTGTGCCGGCCATTGGATGAAGATTCACCTCCTGAGGGCTGGGAGGGAGACGGACACACAATGAATGCTTACTGATGTTTGTTGTTATTGTTGTTTTTGGAGGCCATTGAGTCCACTATGACTTACAGCGACCAACAGATCCGAACTCTGTCCTACTCTCTGCCATCGTCACGTTCTCTGAGAGGCTTGGCCCTAATAATCTATCTTACAGGGGACTTTCCTCCACCTTTCCCAGCAAAATATCTTTTTTAAAATGAATTTTAATGAAAGTTTACAGAGACTTAGGGTTTCCATTCATTTGTTGTTGCACTTTTCTCCCTGTCCCCCACGCCACCCCCCAATTCACTCTTCTCCTTAAAAAGTAAAAGAAAAACCCTTTCATTGTTGGGCAATTCCTCCCCTTAAGTCCACTCCACTGTGCAGCCTTCATTCTAGACTCCTGTCATGACGATAATACCCAATCATATATCCCTTTTAAACAGTTCTCTCCCTCATCTGTTTCAATGCAGTGGACATCATTCCTCCCCTCCTTCTCTGCCTCCCCTCAACCCCGGACTGCTCTCCACTCTTTACAGAAGTGGAGGAAGCCAAGACGCTGCACCCACAAAGATTCCTAGTTATTTATTCTTCTGCAAATATTTTTATTTATTCTTTCACAAATATTTACACCTTGGAAATCTGTGTGGGTGGGAGGGGTGTTTCTCTACTGTCCTGTGACTGGCACATATTCGTTCATTGTCATCCAGCCAGAGCCGACTCCAGGTCTTCAGAGGCTGTATGTCACTCAGGAAGAGCGAGCCTGTCTTTCTACCAAGGAAGGGCGGGTGGATTCGAACCAGCAGTGAGGCACCACCTCCGGGTCAGCAGCACAAGTCCCCACAGATGATGCCAGTAAACTCTCTCTGGGGGCTCACAGTGGGGCTTCCGGTGTCGCTGTCATGTGGAAAAGCTCTGAAACATCAGCAATGCTGTTGTCTCTAGCTGTGAACAGCAGGCTTCTGGATTTTGTAAAAAAATGCTGGTGAGGCCAGCTCCCCAAGGTCCTTTCCAGTGTTGACATTCCATGGCTCCCTGCTTCCCCTGCTGATTCCTGGAGAGGTCGGAGGCTCACAGTCCTTCCCCAAAGCTCTCTTACTTTACTCAGTTCCCTGGGTGGCATGAAAGAGTCCTGGTGGTGCAGCTGTTAAAGTGTTCAGTTACAGGTAGGTGATTCGAGCCCATCAGTGGCTCTGCGGGAGAGAGATGTAGCGGCTGCTCTTCTAAAGATAACCCTGCGGCTGGGCGGCTGGACTCTGTCCTGCAGGGCCACTGTGAGTTGTGACCAGGTCACTGGCAGTCTATCTGGACTCTGTCCTGCAGGGCCACTGTGGGTTGTGTCCAGGTCACTGGCAGTACATCTGAACTCTGTCCTGCAGGGCCACTGTGGGTTGTGACCAGGTCACTGGCAGTCTAGCTGGACTCTGTCCTGCAGGGCCACTGTGGGTTGTGACCAGGTCACTGGCAGTCTAGCTGGACTCTGTCCTGCATGACCACTGTGGGTTGCGTCCAGGTCACTGGAAGTATATCTGGACTCTGTCCTGCAGGGCCACTTTGGGTTTTGACCAGGCCACTGGCAGTATATTATCGGATTTGGTTTGAACAGAGTGGTGACTCTGACTTTGGAAAGACCTTGAAGGGCTGGTTTCTGAGGACTCGAGGTGATGCCTTTGGAGACTGGTCCCCACAGAGGTGTCCCCCCAAAGATGTGGAGAGCGATCTGCCTCACCCTCAAGATGAGTGAAGCTTTCCCCTCACTTGGCCAGGGCCTGGGACCCTCCAGTACTTAAAGGATTAATTAGTTCCTCGTCAGACTGTTGTGGGGATTAATTAGCTGGTTAATCTGCAGGCACTCCCAGCCAAGCATCATTTCTATTTCTTTCTTATTTCCCTCCCTCACAGAGCCCTCCTGCAGCTGACCATCCTTGGGGAATTCTTACAGGGAGGGGGAAACAGGACCTGAGCCTGAGGGTCCTCAGCTCGCGGGAGGGGAGGACAGTGGCCGTGATGGTCCATTTCAGCCAATCAGCCTTAGCTGGTTAAAGGTCCAAGGGCTCGGTCCTATAAACGAACCTAGTTTTGTTTCTGTCTGCAGGTTAATAGAAAAGAACATGATCACCTTCTGTAATATAATCAGTTGCCTGAATGGAGTTTCCTCTGAGCCAAAGCACAGTGGATAGATGCTGACGTTGTTGTGAGGTGCCACAGAGTTTCGTACAACAGATCGAAGCCTCGTCCCACCCGGCACCATCCGCATAATCTCTGATAGGGTGGGAGGAAAAGATAGACTAGAACTTCAAATTCCTAACTAACAAACTGGAACTTCAAATTCTTAACTAACAAACACCACAACCCGTGCCTACTGGGCTGGTGGAGATGAGTGGACACTCTGAGGCTTCTCAAACCTTGACCTCAAACTAAGCCCTTAGGGCTCCCTGTCGCCGAATCACAAATTGGTGCACCATACAGTGAGTATCACTGTCCTTTACTGCACTCTGATCCTTCTTGAAAAATCACTTAGATGAGGCCAAGTGGGCAACAATGGCTTCAAAACAAAGGCGAGAATGTAAGGAGGGTAGGGAAACTAGATTCATGGAAATGGAACAACCAGAATGCAAACCATGAGGAAGTTCCTGCACTGTGAACCAAGGCAACAACTGGGGTCGAACTTGTTGAATGGAAACTTCAACTTCTGTGTAAATATTCATCAGAACTACAATAAAACATTATTTTAAAGAAGCATCCTTAGGGGGTAGCCATCCCTCAGACCAGACTATAAAGAGACATCGTAGCAGAAGTGGTTCCCTTTCTCCACCCTGCTTTCACCCTTCCATCTCCTAGCCTGTGGATTTGGGGAAAAGTCTTCAGACTGTCACCTGACCTGCGGACTGTGAACATGTCCACTTCCATGATGGTTAGAGCTAGTCCCAGGGAGTAAACCTCTGTCTAAACATACATCTCACTGATTTGGTTTCTCTAGAACCCACCCCACTTCACCTCACTCTACCCCTGACGAAGACCTCTGCTCTTTCTCACTCACCCAGAAACAAAATGCAGATCATCTGAAAAGCATTTACGGCTGTGTAGCAGCTCCTCTCAGTCCATGATCAGATCTCTGTGGATGTCACCAGATTCAGACTTGGACAACATTCAAAGCAGGGAGCCTGGAGCTAGAGGCAGCTAGAGGGCCAACAGGAAGCCAGCCAGCAGGCCTGCGACCCCATCCTCCCCACCCACCAGAGAGGCTCCGGCAAGACCACCTCCCAGCCTGGTCCTGCCTCAGAGAAGCCCAAGGAAGGGACAGTGGTCAGATTTCACTTCGGCTCACAGGGAAGAGCTTGCTCTCCACAACTCCCAGGTCAGAGATCCTCAAAGCAGAGGCCCTGAGCCAGTAGCACCCACATCAAGTGAGACCTTGTTATCAATGGTGACCACTCAGACCTGCTGGTTTGGTGGTTCTCGGAATGGCTGGGGTTCTACTAAGGCTGCGTCATCAAACCCTCAAGCTCCTCAGAACCACACGTCTGGCATGCAGACCCGCACACATGTGCATGGAGTGACCCAATGAGCCCCTGGAGGTACAGTGGCTAAAGCACCCAGCTGTTAACTGGAAGGTTGGTGGTTCAAACTCACCAGCCACTCTGCAGTAGAACATTGAGGCAGCTTGCCTCTGTAAAGATGACAGCTTTGGAAACTATAGAGTAGTTCTCCTCTGTCCTGTGGGGTCACCAGGATGCTGTGGTGTGGTGTTCTCACAGCCACAGTAAGGCTACAATACTTAGGTCCCCACTCCGTGAGCTCCGGGCACTCCCACGGCGTTTATGTGGATACTCCTGCTGGGACCACTGGCCTAGAGGTTAAGGCTTGGAAGGTAAACTGCTGGGGGCAAGCCCCACCACTGGGGAGCGGAGTCACTTTGGAAAAGTTAATCAGCCGCTCTGCATTTTATTTCCCACCCACAAATGTGTAGTTGT